GCAGAAAGGCCAGCCCGGGGCATGGGCACAGGGTCCGGGCCAGAGGCCGCAAGACCGGGCCACGGCGAGGAGCCGGAGGCCCGACACAAGGAGGCCGAGGGGGTGCTCGAGAAACTTGGCGAGCGGGCTCCTTGGGAGATGGAGGCCGGGCCGATCCCCTCTCTCGCGCCTCCGCCCCCCGAAACGGGGTCTTTCCTGTCGGACGTGTTTCCGGACAAAACTGCACGCGCCTTGGCGCACGCAAAGGAGAACACACTGTCCGACAAGAGGGCGGGGCCGGTGGGATCATCGCAGGGAAGTACTCACACGCACATACACACACACACACACATGAAGCATGCGTGGGGACGTCTGTGCACCTCCGCGTCGACACACGGCCATGGACAAGCATACTCATGGCATGTTCACCGGCCACTCGGCAAGAGGGAGAGCGAGGGAGAGGGCCACAATATGCCACACGCGCCACAGGGGCCGGGCGCGCCGGGCGTGCAGGCCTATGCCTCGTGTGTCCCTCGGCCGGCCGTCTCATCTCTGGCGCCCCGGCATGTGTGCCACTGCGTGGCCTGCCACCGGTCCTGCCCCTGTGTCCCGATCTTGCTCTCTGCATCTCAGACCAAGCTGTCGCCGGGCACCAGCATGTAGGGCGGCGGGGGCGGCCCCGCGGCCGAGGCGGGCGTCGCCGGGCCGCTGGTGTCGCTGGGAAGGGGAGTGGTCGCACCCTCGGGAGAAGAGGCACTTGCCTCGCCGCGGTCCATGGTGGTGCGGTCCATCTCGATGGCTGACAAGCCCATGCCGGAGACCTGCTCCGAGTAGGCAGCCTTCGAGGAGGTGTCCAGGGTTTTGTTCTTCGAGTCGCCGGACGACGACTCGAAGTCCAGGCGCATGCTCTGGGTGAAGGCCACCAGGTAGGCTTCTTTGTCGACGATGCTGTGGAAAGGCGGGGGGGGGGGGGGGGGACAAAGGGACGAGCGGGATGTCAGCCGGGGCCCCGTCTCGCCAGCCCGGAGAGGCTCCAGCCCCGCGAGGGGCGGGGGCCTGTGCGCCGGGGGCACGCGCGTGCGTCTCATTCGGTGTTGGGGCTAGCGCCATGTGCACGCACTGATGGTAGACCGGCTTGGCGACGACGCCCCAGAAGAGGATGTGCACCACGGCCAAGACAAAGAGGACAATCAAGTACCCGAGCGGACGCCGGTACAGGCGCAGAGTGAAGAAGGCCATGAAAAAGGCATACACCACGGTGGTGATGATCAGCAGGGTCATGGTGGTGCGGTACTCGTTGAAGTAGCGCTTCTGCACATTCCGGTTCAAGTACACCAGAGTCTGCGGTGTTGCGCGTGCGGCGGCGCCCGGCGGTGGTGTGGGCCGAGCAGGGCGAGCAGCCGGGTCACATACAGGGTCCAGTTAGGATGGCGCATGTCTCGGGCGGGCCTCGGCCCCGGGGCCGGAGCACCCGGAGGGGCAGGTGGAAGGGCCGGCCACCGCCTTGGCTGCGCAGCCGGCCCGCGAGGCGGATGTCGGTGCTTCGGCCATGGACACGTACGTAAAGGAAGGCAAAGCCAATCAGGATCTTGATGGCCAGCAGGATGGTAAACAGCGGGCTGACATCGAAGCACCCCTCTTCGCCGTTCTGGCATGAGGTGCGCCCACCACCCGAGGGCACCGGGTCGGGCGAGTTCCGCAGCAGCAGCAGCAGCAGCAGCAGCAGCATCGACACCAGGCGCGGACGAGACAGGCAGGCGGGCCGGGCGCAAGTCAGTGGCGGCTGCGTGGAGCGGCGCGTGGCGGCGAGAAGGGCGCAAACGTACCACGACCACCGGCCCGTAGGTTTTCATCACGGAGCTGACAATGTTAAGGACCGGGTTCGGCAGCCAGAAGAGGAAGGTCCAGAAGGCCAGCCACTTCACCTTGAAGCTGCGGAAGCGGAAAATCAGGTATAGCTACACAGGGGCGTCCGGCTGGGGGTCAGTCGTCATGGCCCGGGAGGCCGAGCGCCAACTGGGAGGGGGGGGGGGCATCCGGAGGGTTTTTTCCCTTGGCGCGGCGGCAGGCCCGAGGGGAGGGGGGCGAGAGGGGCGAGAGGGGCGCGCAGGGGGCTGTTCAGGAGAGGGGGCTTCCCCCGCGTGATGGCGCGCGCACCCTGAGCAAGCGGAAGAAGAAGCAGCTCATGAAGATCCCCTGTCCGACACTGATGAGGAACCACACTGTTGATGGCGGGGGGGGGGCGGTTGCCGGAGGCCGGGGCAGCGCGGCGGGAGCCGGGGCGAGTGGCCCGGAGGGGCGTGGGTGGGCGTCGGTCAGAAGGGGCTCCTGGTGGGCGGGCGGCGGATGGAAGCGAAGAGGGGGCAGACCACGGGCCCGGTATGGGCGGCGTGCCAGTGGGGGGGGGGGGGGGGGGGGGGTGGCCAC